CAAACTCAGCACTTTTACCATGATACAAAGTTGCATCCTCCCAGCTGTGAAGGGGGTGCTTCTTCTAAATTGTGTTGTACCCCAAAATTGCTTCTCTGCAAAAAATAGTCTTCTCTTCTAAGAGACGATTGATCGGTACAGCGACTAAATGGTCATTTAATTCACAGATCAAATAAGAAGTAACAAATGAAAAAGGAAAGGTGAATCATTAAAAAAATATCCATATTTCGATGTTATATATGTAATATATATTTAATATAATGTAAATAATACATAACTTTTCTTGACATGTCATTGATAGCAGTGAATAGTCCATCAGCAAGTAACACCCATATACCTAGAATAACGTGTTTCACCTCTTCTAGGTGCTTATTGATAAGCGTATTCCCCATTCTGGTCATTTTCTCACTTCGTTTAACCTAGAGTTCTCAGTCTATTATTGTAGTAGAATAACTTTTTCGCCACTTAGTGTCTAAACTGTTTAAAATAAAATTAAAAAAGAAAAATTATTAAATATGAATTAGAAACCATACAGGGTCATTTACTAAAGTGAGAATTCAAAGTGAATTCAAAGTGATTTTTTTTTTAATTTAAAGGGACACAATAGGTACCCCCAACCCCATTATCTCATTGAAGTGGGTGCAGTTCCCCATGTCCCCTTAAACCTGGACATGATAAAATGAGAAACTGCAATAATTACATTGCAGGTTAACTCCACCTCTAGTGGGTAGTGTTAGAGAAGTGTTTCCTGACTTTTCATGGAGTTTATCTCTGATAGAATATTGTTATTTTCATGCTCCTTCATTTTCAACATGTTATTGAATAAGCCCCGAGATCAACAAGCTAGGTTCTGTTCACCTTAGACAAGGTGTTGGCTGTACATTCCTATACATTGGTATCATTTCTTTGTATGGCAGTGACCATCTGTTAGTATTTTATGTACCCTTCCCCCATATAATGTAGGCTGCAAGAATGTGTGTTTCTATCCACTCCCTGGCCCTCCTACCCCTGCCCCCCCATTTCCTTTAACCCCTTAAAGACCAAACTTCTGGAATAAAAGGGAATCATGACATGTTACACATGTCATGTGTCCTTAAGGGGTTAAGCCCCTTTAAGAACTATGTGTTAGTACCCTAGTGGATGATCCAATAAAGGGATGTATAATTCTCATTTATACATGTCTGTTAAAATTAAAACATAGTCCTTTTGAATCAGCAACGTGTGTGTGTGTGTTCAATTGGGCTTCCCAGTACTGCAGAGATACAGACGAAACCAGCGATTGATAAATTAATAGAAGTTAAGCGCTTTTAAAGAATTCTTCACCAAACCTAACAATTTCCATGCTACGACATTGGACGTTCTCACTCTTTACATGAGAATGTCCAACAGTGTTAAAATCCCCTAAGGAAAGCATTGAATCAGTACGTTCCTATAGGGAAGGCTCTTGTGCATGTGGCGCTCGTCACACATTCCCATTAGGTTCCTCCATTGCTGTGATGGCAGAGGAAAGATATATGTAAAAGAAAAGGTTATTAAGCCTTTGAATGCCAAGGGGAGTCGGCGGCCTCCAGTTATTGGCAAGGGGACACTAAAGCCTTATGAATATCGTTTTGTCTTTCTAATGCTATACTGTTCCTTCAGGGCTAGAGACGTAAAAAAAAAGCATAACTCACTTAGCAAAAGTGTTCCTTTTTGGCTGTTTTGACCTTAAATTTGAAATTCACTTTGAATTCACCTTGCATTCTGACTTTAGTAAATAACTCTGTTAATCTTAAGAGTGGGGACGTTTGTGAGATTTAAAAGATGAGATACTAGCATGCATGTTGTACTGTAGTTGCAATTAAATAGTATGGCGGTTATCTACACAGTCTAAGTTTATTATTTTCATTATATTTATTCTCCACAGGAAGTGACGTAATTGTTGGTGTCAGTAATACTTGTTTAATTTCGTTGTAGTTAATATAATGACCTCCGGCAGTGAAGTTAGATGGTAATGTCAGTTTTTGTTTTAACTTGCTTTGTATTTAATTTTATATCCCCAGTAGCAGTAACTGTTTGCTAGATTTAATTGTGTCTCACAGCAGTCAGTGAAAGTAACTGGCTGGCTGTATTTCATTTTACATTCATATTATTTTTTTATCAAGATGATTGTGAGTGAGTGTGATGTTGATCAATGGCAACAGCAATAAAGATAATAATACTGTACTATATAAATTTATACCACCCAGAAGGTATATATAGTGTTCAAGTAGATATTGTAGCCGTATTAGTTCAGTGATGTAGATGTAAAAAACAGATACAATTTGGATCTTGTAATACAAGGTTCTCCTGAATATATATATAAAGTTGTGCTCAAAAATTTGCATACTTTGGTAGAAATTGTGAAATTTTGGCATTGATGTTGAAAATATGACTAATCATGCAAAAAAAAATATTTTATTGAAAGATAGTGATCATATGAAGCCATTTATTATCACATAGTTATTTGGCTCTTTTTTAAATCTTAATCATAACAGAAATCAGCCAAATGAATGTTTGGGCTTGTTACAGACACACAAGGGAACACACACAGGTTAAAATGGCAATTAAAGGTTAATTTCCCACACCTGTGGCTTTTTCAATTGCAATTAGTGATTGTGTATAAATAATCAATGAGTATGTTAGCTCTCACATGGATGCACTGAGCAGGCTAGATACTGAGCCATGTGGAGCAGAAATGAACTGTCAAAAGACCTGCACAACAAGGTAATGAAACTTTATAAAGATGGAAAAGGATAAAAAAAAAGATATCCAAAGCCCTGATAATGCCAGTCAGTACTGTTCAATCACTTATTAAGAAGTGGAAGATTTAGGGATCTCTTGATACCAAGCCAAGGTCAGGTAGACCAAGAAAGATTTACACAGTTACATAGAAAGATTTATATAGAAAGATTTACATAGTTACATAGAAAGATTTATATAGAAAGATTTACATAGTTACATAGTTACATAGTCACAACTGCCAGAAGAATTGTTCGGGATACAAAGAAAAACCCACAGGTAACCTCAAGAGAAATACAGGTTGTTTCAAGGAGCACATTATGATGATACTTGACCAAAAATTTGCTGCATAGCCAGAAAAAAGCCCTTACTGTGCCAATGCCACAAAAAAAGACCAGTTACAATATGCCTTACAACACGCTTCACAGTTCTGGCACACTGATATTTTTTTGGGGGGGGATGGCAAGATGAATGCAGCATGTTATCAGCATGTTATCACTGTTCTTATATTAAACCACACTGACTGATGATCACTGGATCCTAAACTTTCACCTACAGTAATATCTGACGTTTTATTTATTTTGTATTTGGGCACCTTTCAGATATAAAGCTAACCTTTTCTGTGTTCTCCTTGCCATTTCTAGTTCAAGCTATGATTGTCATGAGATATCACAAGATATGCAGGCTGTAGACATGTGCAATCATTTTAGAACTTTCCAGCATAAGAATGACCCTAAGCACAAGGCCAAGTTGAACCTCCAGTAATTACAGCAGAAAATGTGAAGGTCCTGGAATGGCCATCACAGTCTCCTGACCTTAGTATCATCGAGCCACACTGGGGAGATCTCAAATGTGCGGTTCATGTAAGACGACCATTGAATTTGCATGACCTGGAGGCATTTTGCCAAGATGAATGAGTAGGTATACCACCTGCAAGAATTAGGGGTCCCATAGACAACTATGTTGTATAATCCTTCTCTCACCACCAATACTTCCATTTGGTATCCTTTTGAGAGAAATCCACTCTGCGTTGTGTATTAATAGTGAATGTAATATCCCTGTGTCACCTCTTCCAAGAACTAACATATATCTTTATCCCCTCGTCCAGAAACATATATGACTAGCACTACTAAGGTATTCTACCCAATATTACAAATAAACAGCCAACACCATAGTTCTTACCAGAGAGAAATCTTTACTTAGAATCTGCCCAGTTAAATATCACAGAAGAAGAATGTTACAAAGTTATAGTATTACAATACATTCATAACACTCACACATTCCATCTATCTAATAATATCTACTGTATTGTGTATGTGCTGTGTGATGTTGTGTGCAGAATGTGTCTTACCAAACCTAATCTAATGTGATGTCAGTCTCTTCTATTTTAAAGGAATTTGTTCCCATGTTGTAAATAGCAAATTCCTCAGCTCAATTGATATGTAAATGTGATTTACTTTCCCAAGGCCCAAAGTTTTGTCTATCCTGTTATTTTGTTTTAGTGTTAACTCTCCCAGCCATCCCTTTGCCTCTAACCTAAAGTGTGTTTTCCTAGAGAGAGACTCCTTTGGAGACCAGTTGGTATGTAAATGTGATTGGTGCCTCTCAGGTGCTGTATCTTTCCAACTATCTAAACAGAAACTTCCTTTTAAGATAATTCCTGACCTCCCATACACACAGACTTAATCAAGAACATTTTAATGAGATATATATAATCATAATATTTTCCCCAACAAACTATTACAAAACAAATTGGAAAAACTGGTGAGTATAAGTGCTCGATATCTATAATTAGCAGCAAATCACCAACAAGGGGTTCTCTCCACCCTTTTTTTTTTCCGATCCGCATTTTTATTTTATTTTTTATTTCCTCAAATCCAAGTTACTTAAAAACATGAATGGCTGAAATAAAATACAAAGGAGTGTTGAGTCCCATTGTTGTATCCCCATCACTGCTAACAGCCTACACTATACTGCAAGGCATACAATAATGACAGGGGAAGGGAATGATTTGTGTTAATGTGGAAAGCTGGTGGCCTGTAGGATTGATCCCAAACAACAACTAGTAAAATATAACCGGTTGCACTTTATAAATAAATGTGTTTGACAAAAAGAAAAGTCCATGAACATTCAGAGTATGCTACATAATACAGCATGCCATGTCAGGTATCTGGACAAGGTCAGGTTTAGATGTATTTCTTCATCTCATCGTACAAGACTAGCACAAAAGCAGCACCCATTCATCTGAGGACATTAGACCCGGCACCCTTGAAGAAAGCCTTGGAACCTTCATCTCTTGCAATCTTTATCCAGCAGTCAATTATTCCAGAGTACATGATATCGGCTCCTTTTCTGCCAGACTGCATCATCATTCTTCGATGGACTGTGTCAAATGGATAGGATTCAAAACCTGCCACTGCTGTTACTGTCTGAGCAATCATCCAGCTAATAATGATGTGTGTGTTCTTGGGGTCTGGAAGCATTCCTTTGGCTGTATCATATGTTCCAAAATAAGCTGCTCTGTAGATGATAATGCCCTGAACAGATACATTGAAACCTTGGTAAAGGCCTTTAATACCATCGGATTTGGAGATCTTGACTAAGCAGTCACCAAGGCCCTTGAACTCACAATCAGCACCAGCCTTGCCAACATCAGCAGCCAGCCGTGTTCTGGCAAAGTCAAGAGGGTAGACAAAGCAGAGCTAAGTGGCACCAGCAGCACCACCAGATGCCAGGTTACTGGCAAAGTAGTGCCAGAACTGGGTCCTCTTACCAACATTGTCCAAGAAAATCTGCTTGTACTTGTCCTTGAAGGTGAAGTTGAGTGCCTGAGTTGGGAAATATTGGATCACGTTGGCAAGGTTACCACGCCAGAAAGACAGGAAACCTTGTTCTTTGGGAATACGGACAACACAGTCCATAATGCCCTTGTACTGCTTGTCAACGGTAATCTGTTTGCTTGCATGCTGGACTTGCAGGAGAAGCTTGACCCTTTCAATGGGGGCTACAGCAGTCTTGGAGATGGCAGCAGCCACACCGACGTCCAGGAAGTCCTTGGTGAATAAGATGGCTGCGTCGCTCACGGTAATTTGCCGGTTCGGTCGGTGAGTGGCTTCTGCTGCAGCACTAAAAGCTTCTGTGGGATCTGGATTCTCTCCACCCTTGTGAAGTGAATAGTAAAGAAAACATACAGGAGGTGATCAGCACTTAACATTATATATACATACGATACAGATGATATTTTTAGTATGTGACTCTGTAAGTACAAAGCAAAAAACAGATTATGTTGCAGTACAGTAGATGTTTGTGAAGGGAGTACAAATGGGCAAAAGTGTACACTTACACTTTTTAGAGCAGTCTCAGCTCTATTATAAAGGCCTGGATGGAATAATCCCCATCTATGGATATAAATGGAGGGTCTTTGGAGTTTGTTTTTAGGATGGAGTAGGTATATGTGAAAAAAGCAAAATAGGAAATCCAATGGTAAATACAAACAATGGTATATAGACTGTAAGCTCGTTTGAGCAGGGTCCTCTTGAACATATTGTTCCTGTAAGTTTTCTTGTAATTGTCCTATTTATAGTTAATTCCCCCCTCTCATAATATTGTAAGGCGCTACGGAATCTGTTGGCGCTATATATATGGCAATAATCATAATAATAATAATAATGGAGGAAATTATCCTTCTCAAGGCACCCAGAGCAATGTCCTGCTCTGGTATGAAGAACTTGAGGTGGGACAATCCCCACCTAGGGATATATGCTGGAACCGGTAGGATGATAAGGGCTGTATGAAGGATGTACTCCACAGGTGATGTATAAAATAGTAGGTTTGTTAAATAAAAAGCTGGAAACAACATCTCTATGAGTAAACCATGAAGACTTTGCGGTTCCCGGTCAGTCACCAGCAACACTTAGCCGCAATTCTATGGAACCGCTTTGAGCATGGGACTATGCGTGCGGTCGGTAAAAGCTATGATTTCCAGGAAATTCCTGGACCCCTGAACTGATCTGGGTGATTTTTGGCTATGTTGGTCACCCAGAACAGGGCTATCAGGAGATGTAACTTTTGTGGGGATTTTATGTGTTTTAAGGTATTTTGGGGATTTTGTAAAAATGTGTGTTTTTTGTGTTTGGAGACAATTGAGTTTATTAGTGCTTGACTCAAATGTCTCCTAAGTAAAAGGGAAGGCTTATTGTATTGTACATGGGAGTGTCATGCATGGTAACAAAGTTATTATTGGACTGTGACTTTGTAACGGAGTTCCCCATAAGGTCCATGTGGGAGTGCCCCTTGCATGGGGATTGTCATAAAAGGCCAAGTGTGGCACCATTAAAATCATTTCCTCTTCACCCTCAACATAAAGCCTCGTCTCATGTGTGGAGGGGACAGCTATATTCACGCTGGGGATTGCTATATCACAATACTCCCCTGGGTATAATCACTAGCTCTTATAAGAGCTGTTCCTGCTACGCTTTCAAGCATAGGAGAGGTTCACCCACTGGAAGCTGGTTCCTGGTCTTTGGTCCACGGTGGGTGGAGGACGGTGAGACCCCAACCAAGCTGCGGCGAATTGGAGGTCTATGGTGCTGATGGTGTCTGGTGGTGTGCTTAGAGTCCACGGTGAGCACTAGGAGCATCGATTGACGGAGGTACCTGGTCGGGGTGCCAGGCGGTCCGTCACAGATATCAATACCTGTATGTAGTTTTTATGACTGTCTGTAGCTAGGATGTGAATAAAAAAATCATCTCAATCAGTGCTGTTGGGGCTGTGTGCATACTTTTGATAATGATGTATTTCTGGCGTAAGTGGGTGTTTCTAATGAGGCAAGCTTATGGTGCAGCATTCTCCAAAACATGTATTTATTTTGTGCGAAAACTATAATAATTTGAACATTTAAATAAATACAGCATATTAATGAGGTCAAAATCTATCAAATGCATTAAACTTATTGGTGTGTGAAGTGTCCCTTTAAGCAAGAGTGATGTGCCCATAAAATTCATGTACCCGTGAAATTATTGTTTCCTTCAATTTAGACCGGTATTTTAGGGGAACAGTTCTCATATAACTGCTAAATGAGCTGCATTTTTCACTTGCAGATGCTTGCAGAACACAGCAAATTAATTAGCTTATTACCATATTTTACATTAACATTTTCATTCTTTTTGTCAGATTATTACACTAGATCCATCACCTGTGAGATTTCCCATGAGCAGAGAATGTTTTTCTCCTGAGTGATTTTAATTATTGAGAGTTTCCACTGTGAATATATGAGGTTACCTCTGCTTTACTTTAATAAACCCATACATAACTCTTCCTCTTTATGTCACAAGTCAGGACCTAATTGCTTAAATTGCACAAAACATTTGTGTTATTCAATTTAGCAAAAATGTAATTGCAAATAATATTAAAAATAGGAGTAAGAATCTTACTTCCTGTAATTTAACGGGAGTCAGAACTTTATTATGATACATTAAGACAGGTCAAGAGGTCCCCTATAGTTAGTTGGGGTTTCTAGAGACCACAGCTTGTTTGTTTTTTTAAGTTCCCAAACATTGTTCATGTTTTAAGTCAGCCACCTACTCCCAATTAGTATTTCAATTAATTTATATATTAATATTTTAAAGGAACACTAAAGTGTAACAACCACTAGAAGTGTAGCGGGTAGGTGAGTTAATACTATATGGTAAACATTTATGTTTCTGAGTTTATGAAGACCAGACAATCTTCTGATTCTATTAGGAAAGTCTTTCACTTAATTCACAAAAAATGCCTCTCCCAGTACGTAGATGTAGTGAAGGCATTCAACAGATTACATTGAGGCTATCTGGAATCTGTGTTGCAAAGATTGTGCATGCCTGATTAGTTAATACAAGTTATCATGTTACATTCAAACCTAGAACCATAGTTCATGATATCAGTATTTGTTCTCATAGATATAGTTTTTTTTTGTTTTTTTAAATGCACAAGGCTGGAGTGTCCGCTATCTCAGTTATTATATAATATGTTTGGCCCATGAACAACTAGCATGTACTATTAGAGCTAATCCTTAGATATACAGATTTCAACAGCCCATCTGGGACAGAGATTACGTTCGTGGGTGTTACACATCCTCTGTTCCTACTGCAGTCTCCACTGATTTGCCCTGCTTGGAGACTCTTCTCCAAGTAGGGTAAGCTTCCTCCAAGACACCAACATACTGGCTACATTGTCAGCATGTCATTGTCTTAATAGAGTGACATCAGTCACTCCATTCTTATACTCCCTAGCCAGCACTGGCTAGGGAGAAATCATAGCACATGTACTGTGGGTGCTATGGATGGACAGAAGGACTGTCTGTAGGTGTTTTTTTCTGCTCTCCTTTATAAATTAATTCCTCAGTATAAACTCTATTTATTGCCCATTCAAATCTATACATTTGCTAGAAAAACTGATAGCACAATATAGAGATGAAATTTGATGGTCTTTAAAAAGATCAAAACTAGTTATGGGCACTATATTTGCCCTTAAGAAAATGTTGCTCCATTGGTATTTACAGCCAGCATGATTAGTGCACCTTTTTCCTTCTCAGTCCTGTTTATTTTCTCGTTGCTGATATATGTCTGAAACACATGCACACATATTGTGGTATTGTACCCTTTTAGTGAAAGTTTAACACTCAGTTTAAAAAACAATACTGACTTTTTGATATGGGATATTACCCTTCAGTTCTTGAAAGGTTGCATAGGTTTTAATTTCTTATATACAAACTGCGGCAAAATTAGCTATTGCAAGATTGCGGAAATAATCTACTATATTCTGTATTTCTAAAGTACTACAGGACCTAGAACAGTCTGAGAGGATGGAATGGATGGCCAATCCTGTAAATGATTCTGATTCAATTGTCTTTAGAGCTTTGGGGCAGGTTGAGTATCTTCATACTTTGTCCCATCATTTAGGATCATGATTATAAAGAGGAGAGTAAAGGAAAGGGGGAAATGGAGAGAAAGAAGATGTGGATGGGGAGGAAAAAATGGAGAGGAAATAAATAGGAGGGAAGGAAGGGAGAAGAAATAAGTGAAAGGAAAGAGAGAGGAAAAAGAAGGTCAACTCTCCAGTGACTCTCCAGTGTCAATTTTTTTTCTTTTTGTCATACACTTCCTTACAGTATATTTTTCTCACAAGGGGTAAATACATAAATTTAACATCATACAAAAACCATGGATGCAAGATCTGCTATTTCTCAAACTACACAGTAATATTTCCAAAAATAATGATTTATTTTTTACAAGTGATTGATGAGAATAAAATCACATAAAATTTTGTTTTATTATTTTAAAGACGTGATATATGAAGCCTTGTGATGCATTACAAGCATTGAAAAAAGGTAAAATTCTCTAGAGGGTTTAGAAATTGCACTGCTGGAAGCAATTGCAGATTAAGACATTTTCCATGCATTTTATTCAAACAATAAGTTACTGAAATCTTTCTTACGCCATAAGTTTGGACGTGCTTAGTAATTTCCAAGCAATTCTTGATAGTGGTATTTACTACCTGCTGTGACTGTTCATACTTCATATAGGAATGAAGGTAACATGAAAAGCTAGTATCAGAAACAATCAGTAAGGATACAATATGGTTTCCTACTTAAAGAGGACAGAAAGGAGTAGATCTTAGTTCTCCTTCCATTTTAATGAAATTAATTGTTGGTAGGTATACTAATCTTTTAGTGTCTTATTCGTGATATGTTCATAACTTAATTGGACCATGAGCAAAAGAAACAGAATGTGGAAACTGTTCTACAAATGATACAGGAAAATATTAACTTAAAAAAAAACAAGTTAGAATATTGTAGTCAGATCGTAGATACTCAATAAATGCACACATCATAATTTAAAGTAAAGGCCATCCAAGAAGCACACTCAAAATGGGTAAGAAAAGAACAGTACCTATCCTGGGTAAATACTTCTTATTCAGGAAGTATTACTTTACTGAGAGGGTAGTGGTAGCCTTCCAGCTGAAGTGGTAGAGGTTAACACAGTAAAGGAGTTTAAGCATGCGTGGGGTAGGCACAAGGCTATCCTAACTATAAAATAAGGCCAGGGACTAATGAAAGTATTTAGAAAATTGGGCAGACTAGATGGGTAGTCACATTCTATGTTTCTATAGCTTATATGGATA